AGAGGACTGGAGGTGTTGCAGTTGAGCCTTGCAGTAGCAGAGCTGTTTGGGAGAGAGCACTATATTGGCAGAGATGTATCAGAAAAGGGTGAGCTTGCTGCTCTGTGGTGAGCTGTGAGGGTGGTGGGGAAGCATCTGTCTCCAATTCATGTGGTCAGTTACCCTGCTGGTGGTGTTAGAATCTCTTGCCTAATGTATGATTTTCTGCATGGGTGGCATTCATCCCCCTCTCCTTTCACCCCAGGGTTACTGACTGGCAGCTCCCAAAGGCGCCAGGATGTGGATGTGGATTTCTTCCTGATGTTCAGTGTGGTGGATGAGAACCTAAGCTGGTACCTGGATGACAACATAGCATCATTCTGCACAGACCCTGAGACTGTAGACAAAGAAGATGAGGAATTTCAGGAGAGCAATAAGATGCATGGTCAGTGTCACCTTTGTGAGGACAGTGACTCTGCCAAGACACTCAGGGGTGTCAGTGCTGCACGATCTGCTCGGAGATCACGTGCTGAGCAAACACTATCACAGGGACAAGGCAACAGCTCCAGAAAAGAAGTGCTGTTGTGATTTAGTCTTTGGCTTGAGCAATCTTGTATGCTCTGCTTTAGGGATGAGCTGTGGAGCTGAGCTCTGCAAAGCAGAATGATGAGTTCTGGTTGGGTCCATCCTCTCGTCGTATCTGTGCTGTGACCTGCTGGCAGGAGCTCTGGAGGTCTCTTTTCTGCTCTCTGATCTTGGCTTGCTTGGTTTTGCAGCTATCAATGGCTACGTGTTTGGGAACCTCCCTGAGCTGACGATGTGTGCTGGGGATGATGTCTCATGGCACCTCTTTGGGATGGGCAATGAGATTGATGTTCACACAGCCTACTTCCATGGAGAAACACTCCGTATCCGAGGCCACAGGACAGACGTGGCCAGCCTCTTCCCAGCTACTTTTGTCACCGCAGATATGGTCCCCAGTAACCCTGGGAGGTGGCTACTGAGCTGCCAGGTCAACGATCACATCAAAGGTAAGGCAGAGGGTGGAACATGTTCTGCACTCTGTGTCCCCTTTCTTTTTTGTGCAGTGTGCTCCTGTGATGTGCAGTGTGGTAGAGGACAGTGCCTTGGGCACAAAGCATGTCCCTAGATGAGCAAGTGATTCCTTGTCCTGTATAGATTGGAGTGGACTGGTTATTAATGTGCAGGGCAACCTTGGTGGGGGTGACCTGTTCCGTGTCTGGTGCAGCTGAAAGCTGAGATGAGGCAGTGTCTTTAAGAGCTCTGGTCTCTGTAAGAGGCATTTGCATGATAGATCCGAGGACAGCAGAAGGCTCTAGTCACTCTCTGTCCATGCTTCCACAGCATTGTCAGGCCCTGAGATATTGCCCAAGGAGGTGGTGGAGTCACCATCCCTGGAGGTGTTTAAGAGGTGCCTGGATGTGGCACTGGAGGATCTGGTTTAGGGGTTCCAGCAGTGACAGGTTCATGGTTGGACTCGATGATCTGAGGGGTCTCCTCCAACCTTGATGAGTCTGTGGTCCAATGTCTGAGGTCAGAAGCTCTGCTCACTGCCTGTGGGAATGACCTACTGTCCTCCACTCCCAGTGCCTTGTGGGCAGGTTGGTGGTGGGAGGGAGGCTGTGCTCGCTGTCTGGCTGAGGGGCTGAGTGTGTCCCTGTGTCGCACAGCTGGGATGGGCGCGCTCTACGAGGTCCGGCATTGCGCACAGCAGGCACCGGCGGCCGCCCCGGGTGGGAGAGTTCGCACGTACTACATAGCTGCCAAGGAGGTGCAGTGGGACTACGGACCCCTGCAGATCGACCCGAGCAGTGGAGAGCCGCTGAGCAAGGCAGGCAGGTAAGTGAGGGGGCTCGGGGGTGGTGACCTGAGTCGGGAAGGATGCGAGGAGAGGGTGAAAATTCCTTCTGTTCAAAACACATGGAGTGAACTCCCCCTGCCCTGGGAAGGCAGAGCACTCCCTGTGGAAAGGGAGGCTGCTGCCGCTGGGCTGCATGGCACGGTGCAGGTGCCCCGTGGGAGTGTGGCACAGCCGTACCCACACACAGGCCCTGCTGAGGTGGGGCGTGAGCTGCCACGTTTGTGTCTGGGCGTGCAGGGACCTCGGTGTCAGACCTCCATCCCATGGCCAGGCCGCTGCGACAGCAGCTGGGCAGAGGTTTCCCATTCAGGCTTTGGCTAACTGAAACAAGAAGATTGCTCTCCCTCTGTTCCCTTCCCTGGAAGCTGTTGGAGAGGATGTACCTCATCCAGGTGGAGAAGGAGAAATGCAGAGGGGTTAATTATTTACCCGCTGCCATGCCGCAACTCCTGCAGACCTTAGAACTGAAAGCTCTTTAGACCTGTGAGCTGGCCTTGTGACTGCACTGCCTCTCCTGCACGGCTGGTGATGTCTCTGTTTGGTGAAGGTGGTGGTGGAGGAAACAAATCTCTTTACAGCTGTTTATTCTAGTGATGGTTGCGGCTGTACCCTGGGCTGTCTCTGGCCTCGGAATGGCTCAGTGTTTTAGTACTGCCTTCCCTCTGGCTGCACTGCAGTTTGGTTCTCTCCTTTGCAAGTCTTGTGCAGAGATGCTGATCACACCTGTGCCACCAAGCTTGGCAGGTTCGACTGGGAGAGGTGCCACAGGTGCTGGTGGACGAGTCTGTAGGGACAAAGAAACTTGGCAGTGTCAGTCTGTGCTTGTTCCAAACCAGAGGTGCTGTCCTTGTCTGAAATGCTGCTTGGTTTGGAGGTGCCTCCTTGCCAGAGGGCGATGGAGAGGGAGCAGCACTGGTTTTCTGTGGGATAGCCTGACGTTTGCTGTTTGCATTTAGCCCTGCTGAGCCCTATTTCAGGCGCAGCCCGTACCGAATTGGGGGTGTCTATTGGAAGGCAAAGTACGTGGAGTACACTGACGAGAGCTTCCGTGAGGAAAAGCAGCCATCGAAAGAAGGGAAGCACCTTGGAATACTCGGTGAGAATCAGCCAGGAACACAGTCCCTTGTTGGTGTTGGTGAGGAGGATGGTGGTGCTGGGAGTGCTGGTTGGCTGTACCTGCCTTCTGGGTTCGAGGGGCACAGAGATGCTTCACAACATTCACATGCAGGAACGAGGGGTACAGGCCAAGGTGTGGAGTGCTAGAACAGACAGAATCACTTCAGAGGTGACTCTGAAGGTATTCCGGAGGTGAGGGCTGAGGGACTGAGCGTAGTATTTGTGACTAGAGCTGAAGAGGTCACAGTGATAGCCAGTGTCTCACCACCCTCACAGGGAAAAACTTCCTAATATCTAACCTCAATTTCCCTCTTTCAGTTTGTGCCCATTGCCCCTTGTCCTGTCCCTGCAGCTCCTAACACAGAGCCCCTCTCATCGCCAGCACTGTAGCCAGGGGAAGGTGCCCTGGCTGCTGTTTGCCTGGTGGCTGGGGGAGTTGCCCTGTTGCTGATGTGTGCTCTCTGTTGTTTCCCAGGCCCCGTGATCAAAGCTGAAGTGGGGGACACCGTCCTGGTGACGTTCCTCAACAAGGCCTCGTGGCCCTTCAGCATGCAGCCGCACGGCATGTCCTACGGGAAGGCGGCGGAAGGGATGTGGTACCACGATGGTTGGTGGATCCTTTGCCTGGGTGCACCCACGTCTCCCTCTGGCGGTGCTGGGTGCTCTGGGGTCACGAACCAAGCACCTGCTGTGAGTGGAGCGGGTGAGAAGGTGTAGCTGAGGGATAACCCTGCAATCTCTGTCTCCCAGGCCTGTCCCAGAATGGGGTTCCTGTGGCACCGCTGCACAACTTCACGTACCGCTGGACCGTGCCGAGGCAGGTGGGGCCCACGGCCAGCGACCCGCCCTGCCTCACCTGGATGTACAGCTCGGCCGTGGACCCCGTCAGAGACTCCAGCTCGGGCTTGGTGGGGCCCCTGCTCGTCTGCAAGCCGGGCACCTTGGATGGCAACAACAAGCAGGTAAAGGGTTGTCCTGCCCTGCTCCTGCCAGGGCTTTTGCTGTTCACAGCATCATAGAACTTTAGGGGTTGGAATGGACCTTACGGATCATCCAGTGCCAACCCCTTCCCTGGGCAGTGTCCTCCACACTTCTGTGTAGGAAAAGGAAGCATTGGCAAAGCATTAAGGAACGTACTGAAAACGAGTAAGCAGTAATGTGAGTCCAGGAGAGTCAAACCAAAGCCATGGGGTTGGTTAACACTGGGACAGTTGGTGCTCAGGTCTCGCCTGGGAAAGGCCAGCAATGTTCTTGGGCTGCCCCCACAGCAGTTTCTGAGCTCTGCTTGAAATCCGTAGGCAAACTTGGCTGCGCAACTGTACCTCAAACAGTTACCTTGTAGGTAACCCTTGTCCTGAGGCTTGCATAGCAGGCTGCTTCCACAGGCATGTGGGATGCTCCCTGCAGGCCCAGAAACATTGAAGAGACATCCTCACTGGCAGGTGTTTTGCCTGGGTGATACAATGCTTTGAGGTTTGGGTGAACCCCCAGAGCTGCTCCAGAGCCCTCCTGGGACAGTTCACATTCAGAGGGGGGTGGTGTGGGTGAAACAGGAGTGCAGAAGGGATCAGGATGCTGCCCAGGGTGGAGGTGTGGCTCTGCCGAGCAGAGGATCAGGAACACTCACAGCCCACGAGGTGGAGGAGCTGTGACAATGATAAACATGGGCAGGTACGGGAAAGGTGTGAGCAAAACAGGGACAGACCTGTTTGTGAAAGTGGGACAAGGAAAAGTCCCCTGGGGTGACTGTTCTGACTCCACAGTCATGGGCTGCCCTTTAGTGAATGCTCCACTGGGGAAGGTGCACAGCCACTCCTCTGCAGCTGTGTACCACAGCCCAGTCACTGCTCACCCTCTTGGCTGATGCCCCTGAGGGTGGTGACACCACAGGAGAGTCTGGACACCACCAGGATATTCTTTCAGTGAGGAAACACACCATGCTTTGGAGTGCATTTCTTAGGAGAGTTAACACTCTCAGGGATTTCTGAACAGAACACCAGTCCAGGCCCATATTAGGAGCGATGGGATGTGGGCCATCCTTGTGGCTGGGCTCTGGTCTCAGGGCTGGTTTGAACACCTGAAAAAACCTAGTGATTGGGAGGGAAGGGGACAATGATTTCAAGCCCTTGGCTGAGTTTTGATCACTTTATTCACATGAAGCATCATGGAAAATGAACAAGTGATGCCTTTTGTGAAACAAAAGAGGAACATTCAGCATGAGGAAGGGGGCAGAGTCCTGGCCCTCCACAGGTTTTGAGATAAAGGGGACCAGGAGAGCCAGGCAAAGCAGCTTTGCCTCTAAGGGTTGTTAATTCGTGTGTTTTAAAAAAATAACAGCCATCATTGTAATTATAGAAAGGCATCGACAAAGAGTTTTACCTTCTCTTCAGCGTGTTTGACGAGAACCTCAGCTGGTATTTAAATGCCAACATAAAGTACTACTTAAGGATGGACGAGGCAGCTGTGAAAAAGGATGATGGCTTTGAGGAGTCCAACAGGATGCATGGTATGGGTGGATGCTGCTCTGTGGCAGCAGGGATGAACCCCAAAGCATGGGGTGATGTTCACCTCGGGCTGCGCTGGGGCTGGAGGGGCTGGGTGGTGTTGCCCTGGAGTCCAGCCAGGCTGGAGGCAGTGGCTGGGATGTGTCAAGCAGCACAGCTGTCTGGGCAAGTGTGTTCTGAGTGTGCTCAGGGGTGAATTGCAAATAAGCTGCCCTTCCTGCCCTCTGGCAGACCTGTCCTTTGAGGGGTGTGCACAGAATGAATCTCCTCTGCCTGCTGAGAGTTAATTGCTTTCTCCTTTGCAGCCATCAATGGACTGATGTTTGGTAACTTGCCTGGGCTGGAAGTGTGTGAAGGAGACAGAGTGTCCTGGCACCTCCTGGGCTTGGGCAGTGAAGCAGACGTACACAGAGCTGTGTTTGAGGGAAACACGCTGCAGATGAACGGGATGCGCAGGGACTCGGCCACTCTGTTCCCACACACGTTTGCCACTGCCTTCATGCAGCCTGATAACAGCGGTGAGTGCCTCCTGCACAGCTCCCTGGGCAGCAGGAAGGGGCTCTCATTGTGGGGGTTTGCTCCTGGGACAGGTTCTCTGGCACGGCATGAACTCTTACACGAGTGAGCTGTGCTTCAGGTGGCTGCTGTGTGAGGAAGCTTCCTGAGATGACTTTTGTGCAGGACTTTGTTGCGCTCGGTGTCTCCAGTGACCCCTTTTTCACCACAGCCTGTGGCAATCAAGCTCTGACCCCTTTGCACTGTGGCCTGTGGCAACCCAGCCCCCTGAGCACCACACAGATACACCCAGCACGTGCTGACACCGTCCGTGCTACCAGCTCTGCGGGGGACGCAGCCGTGTCCCAAGGCCTCCAAAACCCACTGATTCCCTGTTCGTCCTGCCTCCTGCAGGGACTTTCGAGCTGCACTGCCAGACGAGCAATCACTACCAGGCTGGGATGAGGGAGCAGTACGTGGTTTCCAGGTGTGGGAAGCAGACCCCTGCCCCAGGCCGGCAGTACTTGGGGGTGCGCACGTACTACATTGCGGCCGAGGAGGTGGAGTGGGACTACGCGCCCAACCGCACCTGGGAGAGGGAGCGGCACAGCCACGCTGCAGACAGGTGAGCCTGGCCCCTGGGGGAGCCTGTGGCAGTGTCCCACGGACCCTGGTGGAGCCTGTTGGGTGTCTTGGCCACTCTGTGACCTGCTGTGTGTGCTGGGGGGGCTGCCGATGGGAGCACGGGTCTCTGTCATTGAGGCTCAGAACAGGTCTAGAACATGTGTCCAGTGAGGAAGGGCTGAGGGAGCTGGAGTTGGTTAGCCTTGAGAAGAGGCTCAGGGGTGACCTCCTGGCTCTCTGCAACTCCTGCCAGGGTTGGAGATAGGTGGGGGATGTGTGTCCTGCCAGGACTGCAGGGAGAGGATAGAGGGAATGGCCTTGAGCTGAGCCAGGGCAGAGTCAGATTGGATGTGAGGAGAAATGTTTTCCCTGTTGTGGTGTTGAGGCCCTGGGATATTGCCCAGGGAGGTGGTGGAGTCACCATCCCTGGAGGTGTTTCAGAGGTGTCTGGATGTGGCACTGGAGGATCTGGTTTAGGGTTTGGGGGTTCCAGCAATGACAGATTAGTGGTTGGACTTGATGATCTTGGAGGTCTCCTCCAACCTTGATGTGTGATTGCACTCACACTTGCAGCCCGAGACACCTCTGGGAAACCCCTTCGACTCCTGAATGCTCTGCTGTGAGTTAACTGTTTCCTCCCTATGAGGTTTTTGGCCTCTCAGCCCTTGTTCTGCATTTCCAGCTATGCTGACGTGTTTCTGAGCACTGAGAACGGACTGCTTGGCTCCAGGTACAAGAAAGCTGTCTACAGGGAGTACACTGATGGCACCTTCCAGACCCCCAAGGCCAGGATCAATGCTGAACAACACCTAGGGATCCTGGGTATGGATGTGAGCAGAGGGTACAGTGGTGGGACTGGGACTCCAGAGCTTCAGTGGCTTAGGGCTGTAATCTGAAGTCCCACTGGATATTTAGGCATGTGCTCTGTATGCAAAGGAGGATAAATTGGGACTATCTCCTACCTATACCTGACAGCTTTGGAGGTAGCAGTAGCAGGGTCCTGAGCACAGCTTTTGTAAAGCCTGGGCTCTCCTGCCTGCCTTTGCACCAGTGTTTGGTCATGGCTCGGGCAAAATGTGTGCCACAGCTGCATTTCCCTGACTGGGGGACAAACAACCACTGACTTCTGGACAGGGGTCTGAGAGGTGGAGGAGGAAACTTGCACCTGTGAGAAATGTTTTGGGGCAGGAGCAGGCAGCCTTGGGAAGTGGAGAAGCATGTGCAGTGACTGATGGAGGTCTGTGGAGACTCAACCCTGTGTTACGAACCCAGGGCTGGAAGTGGTGTCAGGGCAGCCAGGCTGAGACAGCACCTGCACTCAAAGTAGGCTGCACCTCTGATTTGTGACACTGTCAGGCCAAGTTGAATATTACCATGCATTTTTGAAACCAGCAGCAAGGGATGATCAACGTGCTGTGACATTTGGCATAGCAGTATTCAGAAATCAAGCCTCAGTTGTGCTGGGCCTCATTAAGATGTGGTAACCACCTTCATTGTCCTCGTTATGAAACTCAGTCTGGGTTCCAAGACTTGAACTGGGACTGACCTCCTGCTCTGGTTTTGGGAGGCAGAGAAGAGGGAGGGGAACGTCATAAATATTATGCTGGTATGAAGATGCTGAGGGGACTGAAGCACCTCAGGGATGAGGAAAGGCTGAGGGAGTTGGGGCTGTTCGGCCTCGAGAAGAGACACGGAGGGGGACCTTATTAATGGATTCAAGTCCATGAACAGGATGATCATGGACTCCAAGATGATGATCAAACTCTGCTCAGTGGGGGAAACCAATCAAACAAGAGGTAACAGCAAAAACTGTTGCCCAGGATGTTCCACCAGAACACAAGGAAGAACTTCTTTCCTGAACAGTCACTGAGCACTGAACAGATTGCCCAGAGAGGTCGTGGATTCTCCCTCACTGGAGGTATTCCAGAACCACCTGGACACAACCCTGAGCGATGTGCCCTGGGCTTGCCCTGCCTGAGCAGGGAGGTGGGACCAGATGTCCCACTGTGGTCCCTTCCAACCTGACTGACTCTGAGATTCTGTGAATATCTCTGGGGATAAGATGCTGAGAGAGAGGTGGGAGTATCCCAGATGTGCTGATGGTCTTTGCTGGTCTCAGAGTATGTTCTTCTGTCTCAAGGTCCTTTTCTGTGGGCAGAAGTGGGTGAGATTCTCAACGTGGTGTTCAAGAACAATGCCTCTCGGCCCTACTCGGTCCACGCTCACGGCGTGCTGGAGCGGCAGGCGGGACAGCCGCAGCCCGCCAACCCCGGTAGGTCCCTGGCTCCAGCTGCACCCCTCGTGCCCACAGCCAGACTGCTGTCCTTAAGCAGCCTCAGATGTCCTGGTTTTCTCGTGGCAGAGAGCTGGAACTGAGCAGGGACTGGTCTTTCAGGTCCAGCACAGTCTTGGTGACACACAGTTGTGTAGGAATGGCAGCCCTGGGGCTCACATTCTGCTCAGGCTTCTGGGCTGAGTGTAGGACAGACTCTTCTGTGTGCAGCCTTACCGCTGCATGGTCTGTCTGTGGGGAGGAGAAGGTGATGGCAGGTGACAGTTCAGCCAGTCCTTGGCAGGGGAAGCCTGTCCCTCTTCTTTGGGGATCTGTGTGCACAACAGGATGACATAGTAGGAAACAGGAGAAAGGCACAGCTGCTTGCCAGGATCTGACTGAAATCACTACTTTGTTTCGAGGCCCAGGTGCCAATGTGTGTAGGTTTTGGTCCCTTCCAGCTCTCCCAGGCTGCCCAGGCCACAGCCACGCTGTCAGCCAGGTCCTGCCTTCCTGAAAGGGTTGCTAAGATGCAAAGGAGTAATTTTAAAACCCAATTTGAATTAGTAGCATAAATACACTTCAGAGAGAGGAGAGATCATCTCAAGCTCCATCTGAATGAGGAGAGGTGGAGTTCCCTTGGTCAGATCCAGCCTCAAAGGCAGCAGATAAACCCGAGCTGTGCTGGTTCCAGGCAGTGTGTGTCCTGTGACCGCTGTGCCTTGCTGTGAGAGGCTCCCACCTCTGCCAGTGTCTGGGGAAGGAAGATGCCATGTCTGACAGACAGAGTTGAGTCTGGACTTTGGAGTCAGGATTTTCTTACTTCCTTTTGCTTTGCTGCTGTATATCACCTGTGTGAGGTGCTGCTCTGTCCCCCAGGTGACATCGTGACGTATCGCTGGGAAGTTCCCGAGAGATCTGGTCCAGGCCCAAACGATTCAGCCTGTGTTCCTTGGATCTACTACTCCACGGTGGACCCAGTAAAGGTAAAAGAGAAGTTAAAACCAAAAAAGCCCAATTAGACCCCATCTAGAAAACAGTGCGAGCTGGGTACAGTTTAGAGTTTGGCCTGGCTGAGAGGTGGAAGAACCACCTGGTGGCATGTCCAGTGTTATCTACAGAGGAAGTCTTCCAGGCTTGTCCTGGTGTTTGTCCTTAGTTTTCCCTAACAGACCTTTGTAAAACAACTGCACCATCTCCTGGCCACTAACCTTCCTTCACTTACTTACAAGACATGAGAGCATCTCCCATGTTCGTGGTTTCTTCTGGTGAGAGCCACTTGCTAGTATAGAAAGGCAGAAATTGCCCGAAATGAGGCCTCATGGATAGAGCAGGAAGATGTGACCATGGCTAGAACTGATTGTCGTAGCACTGATTTCACAGGGAAACAACCTGCAGTAAAGCATCACATTAGCCCAGAAATAATGGCCTTTTTATCTCAAGCTGCAGGTGTCTTTGTGGTCACAGAGTGGAGAATATCTCCATACCATTCATATTTATGACTTTCAGATTTGCATTTCTCAGAGCACTTACAGTTCCTGTCCCTGTGCTTTGGTGGATGATGCTCTCCAGCGAGGGTACCTGCACTGCTTGCTTTTAGTGGGGTGGTGCAGGAACAGAAAGGGATTGCTGAAAGGCAAAGAACTGTCCAAAAAGAGGGTGGGAAGGCCCTTGCTCAGAGCTCTCTCCTTCCCTCCGAGCAGGATGTATACAGTGGACTGGTGGGGCCCCTGAAGGTCTGCCGGAGAGGGACTCTGCGCTCCGACGGGACCAGGAAGGATGTCAAGAGGGAGTTTGCTCTGCTGTTCCTGGTTTTTGATGAAAATCAGTCCTGGTACTTGGAGGAGAATGTGGAACGTTACAGTAAGGGAAGTCTCAGGGAGATGAACCTGCTGGATGAGAAGTTTGTGGAAAGCAACAAGATGCATGGTAATGGCAGTGGGTGCTGACCACGACCCCCGGCCACGCAGCCTGGCTGCTGCTGACTGTCCTCCCTGACACTGCTCTCAGCACTGCAGCACGTCCCCAGCCCGAGTCTGTGCTCTGCACTGAGGGCTCATCACTGTGGCTGTCCCTGTCAGGAGGAGTAGCAACATCCAGGCCAGAGAGGTTAAACTCTGATGCGTCCGAGTGACTCAGGAAAGGAAATGAAACCAAATGTGGAATTAGCTTGTCAGGCTAATTTAATTCAATTTGTCTCAGACCATCAGAAAATGTTAGGTTTCATATTAGTTGCCTGAGCTGAATGGCTGCAGTACATGGCTCAGTTGCTTCAGCTGATTATCAAAGAGCTATTTCTACCACAGCAGGATGGACATGTTTTTCTGCATCAGCCTGTTGCTTATGTTAGATCCAGATATGATACAGAGAAAAACTGTCTAAAGTATTCTCAGCAAAACAGGTCCCTGGGCAGTGGTGGAGATGAGAACAGTGAGGGTTTGCACCATGTGCACTGCCATTGCTACTGGTTTTGCACAGGTGAGATAGACTCTCCCACGTGTCCATGAGTTGTTGTCCCAGGGTTGCAGTAGCAGAACCAGCACAGTGGAGCTGGATGTCTGTTCTAGGCTAGACAGAGTGCCTGTGGCAGATCTGGGGGTGCTGTGCCCTCAGATCCTGCCTCTTCCCATCGTGCTCCCTCCGCTGTCACCTGGCAGTCAGCTCTGGGTCCCTTTCCTGCGTGTGCAGGCACAGCAGGATCCCTGCTGGCTGTGCTGCCTGTGAGGCAAAGCCGTGCTGTGCAGGGGTGTGGGACGCACTGTGTGTGTCCAGCCTGAGGCACAGCACCCAGGGCTGCTCACTGCCAGGACTGGCCCCGTTGGTCACTGCTCAGACATGTATACACCTTCACACACATACATGTTTCTCCATTGTGGGGCTAAGAAGGCCATTTTTATGCGTCTTGACTTTTAGAAGCAACCAGTTCTCCTGGCTGACTGCAGGGTTTCAGCAAGAGGTAGTTTTTGAGACTTGTTTGGGCTGAGCTATAGCATGGCCTTGGCTGGAGCAGAGTTGGCTAAGTGGCTGTGCTGGGGAGGGACTGCCAAGCTCTCAGGGACCTGTCACGTGGGGACACTAACTGCTGAGGCACTCGTTGCTGTGTGAGCTCTAACTTGCCCTTGCATGCTGTTCCTCTGAGGCAGTGCAGCACCTTCACTGTTCCACTAACAGCCTTCTCCCCCTGCAGCGATCAACGGCAGGCTCTACGCCACCCTGCCGGGGCTGACTACATACCAGGGCGAGAGGGTGGACTGGTACCTGCTGGGAATGGGTCAGGAGATCGATGTCCACACAGTCCATTTTCATGCTGAGACCTTCATATACAAGGTAAGCAGAGGGTGACTGATCTCAGCACTTCTGCTTGGCTCTGGGCTTGAACTTTTTGAGTGACTCCACAGCGGCTTCACCCAGCTGGGAAAGGGATGTGGTTTTACACATCCCAGTCTGACTCCCTAAGCTTCTGTGTTGTGCTGAGATGTTCAGCTTAGTCCTTGCTGGGGTTGGGTTGTGTTTGCTTTCCCAGCTGCAGCCCTGGGGCTGCTCTTTGAAAGCATTTTTGGTTTTGAGCTTTAGAAAGCTGAAATGTTCCCCAGTGATGCTGGCAGAATGTTCCTCCTGAGAAGATGCAGAGAACACTGCAGTTAACAGCCTCTCTTCTCTGACAGAATGGCAAAAGCTACAGAGCAGATGTTGTGGATCTGTTCCCTGGGACCTTTGAAATGGTGGAGATGCTGGTTGGGAACCCTGGGACATGGCTGCTTCACTGCCACGTGTCTGACCATATCCATGCTGGGATGGAGATCCTCTTCACTGTCCTGCCCAGAGCAGGTAGGGAGCTGTCCCTGCTGCTGTGAAACACCCAGCAGCACTTTCTGCCACTGCTGGGAGTGTTTGCATCACACTTACAACTCTCCCACGTACCACAAACAGCCAAATAATGGAGCAGGCAATTTCTTTGGGCATGGTAGTACCAATTGCTTTCTGGGGGTTTCATTGCAAGTTTGATTCTAGCTTGTGTCTGAGATGCAGTGTTCAGCCATCAGCCAGTGGTTCTCATTGAGGAGAAGGCTGGGAAATGCTGTGCAGGACTGGGGCTGCTCCTGGAGCAGGTGATACAGAGCTGCTCTTGCCTCCTGTAGAGAGGGAAAACATTGGCAGGAGCAAAGAGAACCTATGAGCCCTGGAAAACTGTGCTGTCTCTGGATCTGCTCCTCATTAGATGTGCCCTGTTCTGGGCTCTGCCTGCTCTGCCCAACACCTTCTCACCCTCTGTCCTTTCCTTTCAGAGTCGGAGCTGGAAGTCGAGGGCGTCACTGCAGGTATGGTGTGTGCAGCTCTGCAGACCCTGTCTGTGTGGGGAGCAGGGCAGAGGTTTGGATCTGTGCACAGGGCAGGAGGAGTACCCACAGCCTCTCCCGTGCCAGCCTGGCTGCTGTGGATAACAGGGAGGGCTCAGGGCTGCTTGGTCTATCTGCCCTCCAGGAGTCTGTGTGCAGGTGATAAGGAAGTTGGGCTGGTTAGGCTTGGAAATGTTCAGTGGCCTTGCACCATCTTGTGCCTGCTATGGAGGGACTCAACTTCATAGGAGAGTGTGAGCTTGGGAACTGGCAGAGATCCCGAGGGTGCTTGAGTTGTCCTCGCTCCTTGCACTGTCAGAAGGGATGGAGTCAGCATGCAAACAAGCACATCTACCTCCTGCTCTGATGTTCCCCCAAGAAAAGAGCCCAGGCATGTGCCTGGAATCTTTCAGGTGCTGGGAAGGACAGATGTGAGAAGACATTTGGTTGAGCAGCACTAGCGGCAAGGGGAGTAGTAGATATGATCCTTTGAAATTTTCTGTGGTAAAAAGTCTGAGTAGTTTGTAGTGGTGGGTTTTTCCCTGATTTTTCATCTTCCTTCACACTCCATTATTCATCTGCTGTGAATAAATTCAGCTGAGCTGATTTCAGCACCAGCTCAGAACAGCTGCAAATGCAGCCACCTGCCTACAGTTCTGCAGGCTTTCTCCACCCATAATTCAGTCATTGCCTTCTCAACAACGTTTTCCTCACTCCGAACAGGCACACGAGAGGAGGAAGAGGAGGTGTGTGAGAGCAGTAGTGGCAATATTCAATAGTTTGGTTTTATACCATGCACAGACATCTGCTTGTGTGTGCTCAGCAGGCACAGACCTCAGGAGAAGGGCAGTAGTGGCTGAGTGGGCTGTGAGACACAGTGAGGTCCTGGGGTGGAGTGAATTAGGGAAGGAACCATTGTCTCAGCTCTGTGTGGGCTCAGGGGTCTGACAGTTGCGTGGTGACGAGGCCTCCTTTGAGTCATTGAGTAATTAAGGCTAGTAAAGACTTCTAAGATCATCAAGTCCAACCATTCACCCAGCACTGTCATCTACCACTAAAACATGTCTCTGAGCACCATATCTACACGTCTGAGCACTTCCAGGGATGAGGATTCCACCACTTGGATTGCATTGGGTCTTTCTTTTGCTCCTTGGTTGTATTTCTTGCATCTTTTCAGCTGTGGCATTGCTGCTTCCTATTGAAATCATCTCTCTGTTTGTCTCTCAGGATTGCTGCCTGAGGATGAGGATGAGTCCCAGATAATGGTTTTTGGATCCAAGGTGGCCCCAGAGCAGATAGAGGCCACAGTCATCTCTCTGGCTGTGGTGGGAGTTGTGCTGCTCCTGGCTGCTGGTGTCCTGCTGGGAGCAGTCATCCGCCTGGAGAGGCAGAAGCGGCTGCGGCGCAACCGGAGATCCATCCTGGATGATGGATTCAAACTGGTGTCTCAGAAGAATTCCGAGTTATAAAAGCCATGTGCACAGGTTGGGCTGTGTGCTTGGAGCAGGGGCTGGATCCTTGTCCCCAGCAGAGACTCTGGGCCATCGTTTCAATTGTGCACTGTACCTGTAGGAGCTGAGGAGGGAACTGGGGCCCTGACCTCTTCACGTGTCCTCCTCAGCCCTCTGTAAAGACAGCGTCCATCCAGGAGAGCTCTGAGGACCCTTTGAACTGACTGAAGACAAAGTAACCAGTAAAAAGGTCCTTCCAAAATACATCACAGAAGAGTCAGAGCTGGAACGGACCCACGAGGATCATCTAGTCCAAGTCCTGGGCTACTTCTCTTCCCCAAGAAGGAGAGGAGACCTTTTCTTTTCTCCAGAACAGCTCCACGTGGTCTTTCCTCGCAGGCTAGCTTAGGCCAGATTCCAGTCTTGCTCCATTGCTAGAACTGAATTGGGAATTGCCTTCCAGGAAACTGTGAGCCACTAAAGTAATCAATGTGAAGGGGGGAAGGTAATGCCTACAGTTTCGTAAATCAGTTAAGAATACAGAAGAGAAATTGTTCACTCAGCGCTGTGCTGCTGTTGTCTGAAGAGTCTGGGCAGACACAGCCCCAGGGCAGTGCATGGGTCTCTGGTCCCTCCTCCTGGTCCCTCTGCTCTCTGCCACAGCTGGGGTGGGGGTGGGACTAGCCCAGGGCTCTGTAGCCCACTTGGCCAGGGTAGCCACCCTGCTGTGTCAGCTGTACCCAGTGTCACATTGCCCTGAGCAGGACATATCTTTGGCTCACCCCTGAGCTCCCATTATCCAGATGGATGCAGGTTCGTGCTTACATGTTTCTGTGCCTGGTTTTGCAGTGGAAAGGGATGTAAGAAGTGTGTTCTGGTGGCTTTCAGAGGCAATTAAGGCAGCTAAATGGCTGTAATGACCAGGACTGCTGGGCACTGGTTAGGCACAACAGCACCATTTTCTTCAGAACAGTAATTATCACATACTTAATCATGCTCAATTCATATCGGTCCCTGCATGTTTCCAGCTGCCTTTTCCTTTGGCAGCGAGGACAAAGCTGATTAATTTTCTTTCATTGCACTTCATTAAGCCTGGTGAGGGGCTGGAGGGCTGCTGGGTGCTCTGAACACGGTGCTGAGCTCGGATTCAGCCCTGGTTCAGCTGCTGCTGCTGCAAACCAGAGGTTTCCAAGCCCATCAGCCTGGGGGAATTTTAGAACCCATTGCATCAGGAACAAGCACCTTCCAAGAAGGAAGCCTTTATTTGATTTTTTTTCCCTGCCTTGGCTTGCTAAAAAATAGATCAAAAATTGTTCTGGGCCTGCACTTAGTCAAAGGAGTGAGTGTAGGTGTATTTCTTTGCTTCAGTGCAGCAGAGAATGGGGGCTCAGCCCAGGGTTTGGGCACTGGGACCACACAGGGCTGGATGACACTGTCCTGGAGCAGGAGCTCAGTGCTTCACTGAGCTGAAACAGTCTCTGACCTCCCTTCATCAATACTCAGGGCATACACAATTCAGGAGGTTACAGCTGCCATGGGACCCCAGGAAACTTCCTTTCTGCTTCCTCTTCTCCGTGTAAAAGAAATCAGTTTTCTTGGGAAGAGCTGGTTGCTTGGAGCTGTGCTGTGGCCCAGGTGTATGACATAGAGCCATCAAGGTAGGAGACCTCAAAGATTGAGTCCAGCCATTAACCTGTCACTGCTGTAACCCCCAAACCCTAAACCAGATCTTCCAGTGCCACATCCAGACACCTCTTAAACCAGGGATGGTGACTCCACCACTTCTGTGGGCAGTCTACTCCAGACATGTGCTGCTGTAAACTTGTGTGTGGATGTTCATGGCCACATGCACATTTTTGCACTGCCCCAGTGCACAGCACCCCATCCCAAGGCAGGACTGAGAGGCCCCATGGGTTGTGTGGCCATGCAGGAGGGGTCTCTGCCCACTGCCAGCCCCGGCTGGGACCACCTCCCATCCTCACCAAGCTCTTGCCACACTCTTGGACGTGCAGCTCTGTGTCCAGCTGAGCAGCTGGGACCGTGTCAATCTTCCTGAGCCATGCCATGCCTTTAACTTGTAATCTCTTGTTTCACCAATGAAAAGGCAGTGAACATTTCCTGACTGAGAGGTTTTGCTTCAATGAAACTGTAACAGGCATTCCAGAGCTGCTTTCTGAAAGCTGCAGGAGATTCGTGTCAAAACTACCCACTCTCTTTTCCAAAAGCCTTCACAATGGGAAAGAAATTATCCCTCAGTTCACAAAGGTGTTTTGATGCAACCAGACTGACTAATTTGATTTTCACAAGGTATGACTCAAAGTATTGAAAAGAATGGTTGTTGACCTCTTAGGCTGGGACTGGAGCCTGCAAGAACTGGAGTTTGTCCCTCTCTCCAGCCACTGGCACAGGCCCAAGGCAGCTGCCTGGGGAGTGCAGAGGGATGCTCTGGAGCAGAGCAGCCACCCAAGGGCAGGGGTTCTGTTCTCATCCCCAGTGACCAACTGGGGTGAAGCTGCAAGCTGTGGTGTAAAAATAGCAGATTTCACAGCTGATTTGTGAGGAACCTTCTGGGAAATCAGTTGCTGGTACAGTGGCAGAGTTGGCTGATTTCCCTTGGGTGCAGTTCTACACAGGTTTGGTAAGACTGATTGCAGTGTTTCATTAGCCAGCAAATTCCCAAGAGACTGATCATCCATCAGAGCACCCAATCACCCTCTTCAGGGATTGAGGATGGAAGACAAGGCCACATCTTCTCCCTCTTTGAGAAACTCAGATAAATCACTGCCAAGGTAAGTCATCCTCTTCAGTCGTGTCGGGAGCCTGAAGTCTGGTTACAGGTGGAGAGGCTGTGATTTGAGGACCAGAGAGAATGGCATTGTGCTGAGCCAGGGCAGAGTCGGATTGGATGTGAAGAGAAATGTTTTCCCTGTTGTGGTGTTGAGGGAGGTGGTGGAGTCACCATCCCTGGAGGTGTTTCAGCGGTGTCTGGATGTGGCACTGGAGGATCCGGTTTAGGGGTTCCAGTAGTGACAGGTTAATGGTTGGACTCAATGACCTTAGAGGTCTTCTCCACCCTTGATGGTTCTGTGGTTCTATGATTTTGCTGGAACAGGCAGTGAGTTATAAAGTACATTCTGAACATGTCCTGCACCTTTCTGGGTCTGTCCTTGTCTGCCACAGCCACTGCCTTCTGCAGGCTAAAGATACATCAATTATCAACCCCAGTGGAGGAGAGTCAGCAGGTCCCTGCATGCCTTGTCTCAAGGTGATGGCAAAGAAATCTCACTCTGTGGAAAGGCAACAAGCATTGCCTGGGTTCGTGCCCAGCACAACAAAACCCAGGCCGCAGTGTCCCGCAGATGCTGCAGCTCAGCTGGGCTTCTCTGAGGTTCTGGTGTGCTTCCTCTGATACACACCAATCTTTTCAGCAGGTCACCTGCCTGTTGCACTTAGCATTTGGATGCCAAACCGCCGTGAAG